TTTCATTATTTAGTTCACTGACTTGAGTTCGCGTCGGCTTACGTCTTGAATCTCGATCGTAATCCCACGAGCTTCGGCATTCCTCCGGCAGAGATGGAAATCCACTTACAGAAATTGCCGCCGAGCGTTTTCTTTCTGTCTAATTCGATTCGCGAAAATCGTGCCTAAAATTTATGATGTCGGTGACGTACTGATGCGATTAACGCTACCCTGTTTTAATTAGACAGTAATGAAGAGCAGTTATGAACACGCGTGCGCGTGTAATATATTATATATATACAATAGTATATACATATATTATATTATATCCAACATTAATTATATACACATATATATATTAATATTGAATCAGTATATTGCAATAAACTTCTTTTGAAAAGTTATTACATATAAGAAATTAACATTTTTCAATATCTACGGTCTTGTATATTTTTAATTTTGAAAATTACACAGAAATCCAAATTATTCAATCAAATAAATTAACTTCAACTTAAAATTTTTGCTTCTTATTTGTATGGGCAAACACTGTAGGGGCGCTATTCCTGGGCAAAATTATTACTTCGCCAATCATAGACGTTAGAGCATTAGTTTTTTTTTTAGAAGTACAGTCTTCGTACAGATTGACAAGTTATTTTATTGAGTAAAACTTCTGACGCGCACCAACTTGCTACTTCGATTAAATTTAACAATTTTCAGATGCTCGTGAGTGTAAAGTCGCGAGCGAAAGGGCTTGATACGGAGTAATAGTAGAGCATAAGTACCGGCACTGTAATTTAGCTTACCTCTCACCGAATTGCCTTGAGTCTTTGTACGCGTGTGTTATCGAATCCTGTGAACTGACTCCTGTTCGCTTGTCGATCATGTCGCGACACATGTACATACGTGTACACGTAGGATACTGATTGACACGAATAGCGAAGCTCCCTTTGACGTGTATGCACTTTCCGCTCGCATGCTTGGTGCTCACGCGGGGTGTTATGCCTGTGTTTCTACGTCGATCGTACGTCACCGCGTTGACAAGTTGCGGAGAAATCGTTTAGCTAAGCGGTCGTCCGCAGCCGCCTCGGATCGCGCTGTGACGAGCAACGATACTGTCGATATAAGTCGCGGCTAACATGATGAATAATGTATTTCGTTTCGGGATAATGTAGCCAATCAGAAAACGTCTCTTGCGCCACGCGAGAGCGTGCCTTGAGCGTTGTAAATATTATAACATATTAATAACGTTGATTTTTTTGCGGCTGTTGCGTTCATGCAGACGATATATGCATTTACATATCCAATAGATCACAAAACTTAATATGTATATGTAAAATATAGCTTCGAAAAATTTTTCGCGATTGTCCCAATTGCCTCGAACGTGGCAATATAATATTTAAAAGAAGTACCATCGAAATTATAAGATTGATTGCCTCGGAATGATGAAACGTCATTCCAGAAGATAAAGTTCTTAATAACAGAGACGTGTTCTGTCATTGGCGGAGATCGACTTTAATCAGATTTCGCCTCGAGTTGCCGCGAAAGTGATGAAGATCGAGCGCTTTCCGATCTCGTAAAACTGTTATGAATATGGATAAACTAAATTGCTAGGTTGCATGAAAGAAAAATGTGGTAAGTTTGTGGGACAAGTGGTGCTTAGCTTCTTGGTCGGATAGCTGTTTCTGTTATCATATAAAAAAGAGCGATTTAATATGCAGCAGTCGTTCGAGCTGCAGTTCGCATTTGAAAACAGCTTATTATTATAACAATAACGGCAATAGTAATAATACTAAAATGTTATAATTTTTAAATTAAAAGTTTAAATAAAAATTAATATCAACATTTATGCGGTACACTAGCAAAACTTGTGTCTTTATATACCACGTAAAGTATACGAGTCCATATGTGAAATATTTAATTGAAATTGTATTACCATAACAAGTGCAAATAACATGCAATGATTGGAAATAAGTTTATTAGAAAGTTCACTCTGTTCTCGGAAATAGTAGCGAGCGCTAAAATTCTTCGTGAAAACGAACTTGTTACCTCGACTCCGTGCTTTTAGCAAAAGTATGAAATTGACTGGGTTGGGGAAATTCATAAAAGTTTTGCAACTATTTTTTGGAATACGTCGTGAGCAAAAAGCGATCCCGTTTTACGTCACATACATTCTCGAGCAGTTTTCTAGTTTAGCATAACGCCGACGTGATAAGTTTCGCAAGATCGACTAGCTTAATAGACACGTCAAAGAAAGCAAGAGTAAGTGGGGAAAAAAAGTAAAACTCGCGTATTTTGCAATGTAGCGAATGTAGGAAGTTTTATAACTCGTTGATAATGATTCCGATAAATAAGAAACGGACACTAATACAATGTTACAGCTTCAGTTAAAGTTTCGAGCGAGCATAAATTAGAAATGTATGGTAAAGTAATAATGCAAGTTCCGATATTACGGATTTATTATAGACTGCAGTAATATCGCGATTCAAAGATTAATTCAAACTTCGCGTCTGATAAAATATTAATGCATATTATTTGCTCATATAATCTTTATTTTTAAAACGGTTTAAAATCTTTTATATGAATATTGCATTATATAAACATCATATTGTTATTATTATTCAGTACAGCGAGTCGATTGGCACGGGTTTTTCGGCGATAAAAACAAATTTACTAATTTAAAAAATTACTTAAGGGGGAAAAATAGTGCAGTTGCATATTTTTATCAGGTTTTTTTTTTATTAATTTTAACTTGTGTATAAAAGAGAATTTGCGACTTGGGCGATATTCGGCATTATTTTGTTTTCTTATGCAGCTGCAACTTAAATCCGCTTTAGAAAGCAATTCTCCTCAGTTTCTGGCATAATGATACAGATCGCGATGTCGTAGCACTGTTTGGCAAACCTATGCCCGGCCGTCGAGATGGATAGAAATCCCACTGAAAGAATTATGGACTGAAATTAAATCCGTCGCCGTTTCCCTAGACTTATATTCCGTCTGATCCTTTCACGTCTTTCTTGAAATCCTCGCGAAATCTCTTTCAAACTCCGCCGTCATGGAGCCTCAGAGGCATGAATCGGCGACAGCCGAGTTTTCGCGTGGAATCGCCCTTTTGCCACAGACACCTGAGTCGCCGGAAAGAAAGAATCGTATACAATCGTAACGTCGTTTCCCTTGGGAATGTACTATGCTCCAACTGTATTATATATTCCTGATTTCGCACGTAATGTATTAAAATCCATCGTCAAGTATTCGATTCGTGATTGCAGGCGCATATGCAAAGTACCTCTTGCGCACGCGTCTTCGAAGAGCCTATAAATTATTTAATACGCCATTGATCGCCTCACGTATCCTACTCATGCGAGTTGAAAATCATTATCACCTATTGTCATACCAAATTGCTGTTTCGAGCCTTTCTTAATACGATCTTCATAAGTTTGCATGTAAATGCGCATATTATCGCGCCCGACCTCTATACCATATACGTATCTATCACGGCGAGAAACCCGACGTCGTAAAATGAGATCCTGACAATGTGGGTGATATAAACAGATTAATCTCCTAACTCGCGTACCAGGATCGACTATTGGTACTTTGAGTGAAGGAGCTTTGGATGAACTGTTATTACAAAGTTACTGCGTACAGGACTTCACGTTTCGAGTATCTTATTCGATGATCAACAAGTTCAAGTTTGTCCTCAAGTTGCCGCAATGAACATATGCCTACAGTTATTAGCCGGATCTACATCCATGTCGAGGACTAGTTTTAAGTGATTTAAAAGATTTCTAGTCACATTGCAAACCGTATATATCATAAAAAATTTAAGCGCTTAGGCCAAATAATTTTATAGTAACGAAATAAAATTTTAATAGTGAGAAGTATTTTTCCATTTTCTTTAATTTTGATCATGTTGCTTACAAAAGTGATCGCTAAATTTTAATTTGCCGTCAGGTTATAAGAAATTACGAATTGTGGCGCAAGCGAAATTTCATTTTAATTTACCTGTGACAAATATCGGAATAACCTAGAGTTAGTAAAAGTTTAATGGCAATATGGCTCTTTCGTGGCTGGACGGATAACGTGTTATAGTAACACCCTTTAAACCTCAACCTCAACCTAATAGAGCGCTGAGAGATAAAACGGGCCAAGGGACTCGAATGGCTTATAAGGAAAGTAGCGTTGGATGAGGTGATTTCACGGTACGAAGATTTTAAACCGCAGGTTCTGTAAACTTTCGACAAGAATAAAGTTTTCATGGTTTACTGCCATCTAACCTGGCATTTTCATCCTCCGGCCTCCAGAAGTACAACGGTACTTGCTTAACTCTGAATAGTAGAGCAGTATAGAAAGTATAAAAAACACATTTATTGTATGCCTATATGCTTGTCTTTGCACGGAGAGAATGTTCACTTAAAATTTACCGTAAAAATCATGTAATCGTGGGACAACATGGCATTTTCAAGACTTTTATCAGAGTTGTTAAAAATTTTACTATACATTTTACTAATAAAATGTCTACTAAATATAATTACTAGTAAAACGTATGGTAAAATTTCAATAAACTCATAAAATACTCCGAAATACCATGTTGTCCCACGATTACATAATTTTCAGGATATTTTAAGAAAAAATTCTCTCGGCGTGTCCGTTAACTATTTCATTTTATTAATCTTCTAAAGCAGGATTACATTTTCCTCAGTATTTATAAACTTGAAGCATTTTATAATTATAATTTTTACTTCATTTATGTCATAAATAATCTGCTACTCGTGCATCAATTTTTATGCAATTAATAAATCTTTAAATATTGTTGTTGTCGCTGTTTTTCGCTTCGTTTTAGACGAAGGAAAAATACACGTGACAAACATTAAACATCATAGTAAAAGCGTTTATAAAAGAATTCTGCTTTCGAGGAAGAATTGCTCGAAAAAGAATTTCGAGACATAATTTTCGCGGAATATTTTGTGTAACTTCGTCGTCGAAAAACATTGTACTAGACGAAATGAATTTAAAGGTTTACTTACTTGCGGAATTTTAAACAATCGCAGAAGATTGGCAACCTGAATCGAAGTTACCGAGCTCGCTGCACCAACGACTCCACTGATTACTTTTCGCACGGCAGTTTTGTTGCAGTGATATTCCGCGCCGTCTATGTTGCTTATCGAACCTGAAATGCATAATAAACGTGACATAATTCTGCTTGTAATTTAGTTAAAAGTAATATTTCAAATTAACAAATTAATTAGCTTAATGACGCTTTTATCTATATCGATGAAATTTTGTTGTTGATAAACGCAGGTGTGAGTTCGCGTTAATATAATAATGATGTTGTTTTGTTCGAACCATCACGATATATTTTCGTCATTGCACTGAATATACTGGTCAATTAATCAGGTATACAGTAATAATTCGTTTTGTGTTGTGCGAATAGAGAGAGGTTTAATCAATAAAAAGCGCGATATATGAGAACGATATGAATATCCGGTCGATACTCACAAATACAATTCGCACATGCAGATTAACGTAAATAATTGAAACATATTTCGTTTATTGTCCATTTATATCAATATCTAACCTATAGTTCTTTATTCATTAATTATTATTTTACATAAATAATCGGTATAGCGCGTTATTAAACTTTTTATTAATATACGTACATCTGACTGACTGTGCCGTCGTGCCTGATGTAAAATGGAATAGAAGTTTTACTTGTGACGCGTTCAGTTGTGTTTCGTTAGCTAATATCACATGGCCGTATACTATAGAATCGAATTTAATTAAATTCTTGTAACACGGTTTACGGCTAATCCGTTGTATTTTCGATCTCGTTTTCCTTATTGTTTGGACTTTGCTCCACGCAATTTCGCGGTATAACACCTGTTGAATCTGCCGTTCTTATATTGTTTATCATTGATTCACGGTTACAAACAAAAATCAAGTTAATATTTGCTGTATTATTATAATAATAATAATTTTCAAGATAATGTTGAGCTTTCGAAACAACGTTTCAATTATTATATTTTTAAAATTTTAAATTTAAAACAGCATACCATAATTCTGTATACCATCTCGCTTTGATTATTAACCAATATGCCACACGAAACATATACCGAAAAAGTGTATTATGTGCATGCAGTGTACCAATTTGCGTCCAATTAAAATGTTTTATGCAGCTACGCAAACATAACGTTTACACAATGCGGACTGTCACTTGTAGTTAAATGTTGAAAACCGTGAAGAATTTCAGACACGCGATCGACTACATAAGAAATTAACTTGCCGCCTCTACAATTTTACACTTCACGTCGTTCTTCAGCTTCTCGTTTGTACTCGTGGTTTGAGAGAGTTTACCGATGAAACTCACTCTTATTTCTATACATAGCTAGTGTAAATGTTTGCCAAAGGCTTAAGTGTCGCGAATATCGAGAGGGTGAGAGGCGAGCAATTCTTTCCTGGCGGGGGTTTCGCGTCCTCGCCTTTCGAGGTTTCATTTTTCTTCTTCTAGTCTTTTTTCTCCCTGAACTGTGATGGCGGGAGAAATAGCGATAGAAACGCTTTTCGCGTGTAAAGCACCAACAGATCAATAAAAACGAATTTACCTTTTGTTACGAGACGTATACATTTGGCTTAAGATGTTAATAAACATTAAGGGATGACAAATAAGAAGACGTAAAAGAATGTAAAAATAACACACACATACACACACGCGCACACAAACGGGGAAGCGTATCGACGAGTATTCGGTCAGCTATCGTAAGTGATGCTGCTCGCACCTTTTCTCGGTCCTCGTACGTCCTGCTTTACGTTGGAAAACGAGACCTTATTTTCACGGATCTGTGCACACGATAATGCATGCTCCCTTCCTCAAGATTATGGTCTTCAGAAGCAAGATAGGCTGAGACGCGAACCGACGGGTGCAATATGAAAGAAAGAAAAAAAGGAGAGAAAACGACGACGGAGAAATTTTTCTTATAACTGCGTTCACGTGAACGCGACGGATAAACTTGAAATTCTATAGAATAAACACGGGCCATTTACTTAATACATGCTTTAATAATAAATATTTTAATAATTTAGTCGAGCTGAGACGAAATGTTACAGATTCTGCTTGAAGTCTTACGATAAAAAATTAAGTTGCCATTACAATCAATTAGAAAAATAAAACTTTTTCATTTTTGAAGTATTAATTAAACATTCTGCGTATGATTGTCATAAAACGTAATAATGAAAGCAAAGATAATGCAAAAAGTTTTTATTTATAACGAGAATCGAATACTTGAAAGAGTCAACATAAATAATTTTATTCTACGCCTGTAACGAGTATATAAATTTCCAGATTACTTGTACAATGTCATTCATTTAGCATTTTATTGAATACCTAATAGATCGAGTTGAAGAAGAATGAGAAATACAACGTGTAATATTTTTTGTAAAGTTACGCGCATGACTAAAATTGCGAGGTGAATTTAATTAAAATTATAAATGTCAACTTATTTCCAATGGTTTGTTTAATGTAATATTTTGTTTTCTCTCTTTCTCTCTCTCTCTCTCTCTCTCTCTCTCTCTCTCTCTCTCTCGGACAATATATTATTGCATAACTGTGCTTCTGATGTCGATTAAAATGAATTCCTTTCGCTTTATACACCCTTTAATAGTTTGCGCTTCGAGTATTTTATCAATTGAGAAAGTAAAGGTAGAACTGTCGTGCTTGAAGAAGTATTCTCGGCAAAACTTACAAATTGATGGATCACTTGATCTATCGTTATACTCATCGTAATTGGCAAACTCATTAGGACGGAACTTTAAAAAGCACCACTTCTGGAGAGGTGTGTAGACGGTTAAAACACTCATGCGTACATTTTCCGTTATATTTTCAAGAATAAACGAGCGCCTATATCAGAATAACGTAAACGGTGAATCTGCATGGGGAGAAATAAAATGAAATATCGAGCAGCGTGAATGTAAAAAAATATGTACAAACATTTTCACATTTAAACGTATCCCGTGTTCTCGATACATCTCGATGTTCGATCATGATCCGCGCCTGGCGTTATTCACAACTCGCGTTATTCGCAAATGTACTCCAACAATTCTGACCGGTGCGGATTATTCCGGGTCGATCGTCAACATTGTGAATATTCGCGCTCGTTTCTACGCTAGGTGAATCGTCCTAATTTTCGGCTCATTGGCTATTACTGAAATTGCGACAGCCGTTTGGCATCGAAAACCGCGCGCTACGGCCGAGGAATATTGAGTTACGCTGTAGCTTTATATCCTATCCCTGCACAATTATCGAGATTATAAAACCGAAAAGTAATCCGTAAAACCGTAAGCTTTTTTTCAAGGTATACATTTATATCCTGTGGAATTCGTTGCAATTCAATTATTTAGTTTTAAAAGATATTATCTGCATATATAATATTTAGCCTCGGTGATTCAATTAGTACTCAAGTGGCAACTTATTATTTTAGGGATTCAATTCAATCTAAACTGATCTTCGGGAATACATCAAGATTTAGCTTACGATTATTTGAGTTTTAACAACGGCGGTCTTTTAGTGGCTGCAATAACAATTGGCGACCGCAAGCAAGGAGAAACATCTATTCTCTGGTTTCTTCAATATATGAACCATTTGTAAATCTTTTGAATCGAAGTACTTTCCTATGTTGTGCGAATATGCATATTGGGAAAAAATGAGAATGCATAAGAGCTCGCTGATGCAGAGCTTTAAAATTACCTTATGCTTTATATCGCGACGTTTTCACCGAAGGAGCGAAATGGAATAAATCAAATTTGCATGAAAATACATGTTACAAAATTCAATCCTTTTTAGTCACAAAAGGTTCCTTTGGCCAATAAATGCCATTTGTTTAGAAATATAAGACATATTTTTTTCATATTTATCATAAATGAAATTCCAATCGAGAAAGATTGATTCCGATAAAGAAAGTAAGTTCAATGTGTTAAAGGCACAATGAAAAAAATAATAATGGCAAAAATATTTATCAATTAAACTATTCCGTAAAGAGTACACGTTAATATGTTGATGAATATTATCGAAAAATGATAATTCTAAATGCAATTATCAATCCTATCGTATGAATGTGTACATGTGTTTGGAATAGGCTTTGTTACAACGTCGGTGTTTGCTGTAGAAATTTTATTAAATCAAGTAGTATATCTGTGTAACTAACGATAAGTATATTTTACTTTTTCTCTGAATCTTTTATTGTGGCAAAATCGAAGAAATTTGAAAGAACTCGTAGGAAATATTATTAGGAAATGTATAACACTAACTGTAACTTTAAAGTCACGCACACTGAGAGACTTATTATGTTATTTCATTCAATACAATGGTCTTTCACAGCACTTTAGAGCAATGTTTCCACGCCAGGACTATCCGTCTTTACGTACCGGGCTAAGATCTGTCTAACTAGAAATTTTTTAAGTTGTATGGGATGACGTGTAGCTCTGTGCTAACACAAGTGATCAGTAATGGTAGGGTTCTCGGCTCGATTTCGGCCCTCGTCCCGTATAGGATTCAGTGTTTAATCAAGATCAAGCATAAATTTCAAGGAGTTTTTAGAGATATCACGCTGATATAATCTAACGGTTGAGAGGCTTCCCATAAGAGGGAAACTTAAAAAAAAGTTGTAATGTCTGGAAAGTTGATCGATTTCCCCGTGGAGAGTAGAGCTTTCGATTGGATACGTGTTTTAAGATTCACGTGTACACGTAATCCGTTGTACACGGATTTAAGGTACCTTCATTCACGTGTACCTGTGTACGTGACACGTGTATTCGAATATCCGCGTATGTGTGATACGTGTAAACGTGTGCAAATATTTATCAAAATTTGATGAAAGATATCTATTTCTGCATATGTTGTTCGACATATGTATACGCATAATTCCAGCATTCCAAGTTCTACCTAGATTTTGTCACATAATTCTCTAAATATTTTCCTATTGAGGTATACACGGCTAAACGTTTACATATGTTACATACACGGATATTCGTGTACACGTGTCACGTTCACGGATATTCGTGAACACGTGTCACATTCACGTGTTCACGGATTCACGTAAATGAAGATTTTTTAAATTCGTGTACACGGGTTAAAACACAGATAAGTTAAATACACGGATTACACGTGTCGTCTAGTAC